CAAAAATCTAATATTAATAATCATTATTAACAAAATCTTAATAAACTCAAAGTATCAACTTTATAGATTAAATAATAATATATATTGATGTTCATAATTTAGCCTTTTATTCCGACTGAGAAATAAACCTAAAAATTAATACCTTGAAGAAATCAATAATTTTTTTTTTATCATAATAAAATAAAAGATTATTAATAATACTAAACGTTACCTTTTGATTATCAGTTTCGTTATACTTTGCTCAATCGTTCGTAATTGGCGCATAAAGAACAAGTGGCAACTTTATTACCAAAAATTGTTCTCCAAGTCCAAATAAATAAAGTTGGTGATATATTCCATGACAGAGCACTGGAACTTCACATACCAGATTGTACATCCGCGAATAATTCTTTGGAAATTAATATCGTTAAATTATCTGAAGCCTGCATAACGGTATAAATACTTATTGCATAAAACGCTGTTATCCCCTCTTCTAATTTTAAAATAAATTAATGTTATTTTGAAATTTCAAATAAATATTCACTAAAACGTTCTCGACACACATATGCAACCCGTTCAAAGTTACCAAAGGTTTATAACATTACAAGGTACAGTACATCTTCCAGAACATAAATGTCATTAAATACCTGTTCTGTCCACCTGACTTTCCAATAATTCAAACCAATATTTAATTTGCTAATGATGTATCAATGAGCGTTGTTGAAAAATCTTTCCATTTGGTCCAACAGATAATCGAGAACTTGCATATCGGAAAGAAATAAAAAGATATTCAATATAATGCAACTTATAGTTTATACGATGCTACCGCCTATATATAATTTTGTTTCATATTTAGTCATAATGGAAGACGTTTGAAGTTAGCAGTAAAATTGATTTATGAATGCATTATATTATATATAAAAATAATGCACATCAACATTGCATGGTACAAAATTTATGATTATATCTATAGACGATTTTTGAAATTTGCAGATCAACTTCTTTCTGGTCACATATTTATAAGTTAGTTGGATGAGATTATCACCAATTCATGTTACCACATTATCACATTATCACATTGTTATTTCACATTTCATTCACTTCGCCAGTATTTTTAAAGTTCAATAAATTAGTGATGTGGCCTTTTAGGTCACTATTATGTTATTAATTCAAATGGGACAAACGTTAACTGGTCAATTTAAATTTTAAAAAGACCATTCGAGCCAAAACATGAATGTATTAATTGCATATGTATTGTTCAGAATCATTGAACTGATTCCTAAATATGAGAATATATTTATTTGGAATTTGCTGTTATCTTTTGTGCTAGACTCAAATAACTATCAAAGTTCCATTTACCTTATTGTGGTGAATTATTTTGGTAATTATCATCCCGTATGAATTTTTTCGTCGTTTCCCTTTTTAATTGAAATATCTACTAAGTAAATTTAACCAGTCCAGAGGATTGTACAGTTATATATTTTTCATATGATCTTATCTTTGTTTACCCCCTTGAATTATTCTCATGTATTCACATAATTAATCTGGATAATATGTTTCATATTATTTCAACTTTTATTGTTCAAATCTGTCATATGAAAAAAATTTTGTATGAACTTTATATTTTAATCTATCTTTGTTACAAATTTCTATTTATTATACCAAATTTATAAATGCAATAACCATAAAAGAAAATTTCTTTGTCTTGGTCCTTAGACTTTATTAAATTTTATTTATTTTTTTTTTAAAAAAAAAAGAGCAGCTTATGACACATCTATTATTTTTCTTTTTCTTTTATTTTTATCGTGTAAAATTTATCTCTAAAAGTAACAATTAAATAAAATTTGAAAAACAATATGGCGCAGACGTTTACGTAACATGATCTATTAGATCCAAATTAGTGACTGATTATCATGAAACGTTACAAGTTTCCTGCATTCGCACTTATGTGATAATATCGATTTTGACCATACGAATCATACTTAATACTGTATTATTAATGGTATTACACAAATCACCTAAAAAGCTTTTTTACTGAGTGTACAAAAAAAAAAGACAATACAAATTTTTTAAATTTTTTTTTTTTTTATAAATCAAATTCTACACTAAAAAAAAAGATCTGATTCAAAACTCTAAATTTGATACATGACCAGATCAAACAAGAACTAATACAAGGTTTCTACGTCTTTAACATTCAATACAACAACATCATCCCCTCAAACAACGAACTGACTCCCCCAATCCTAATAACCCAACTTTGCTTGAT